CGGCGGGGGGGGGGGATCTGCTGGCCAGTCCTGGCAGACGATCCCTAGGCCTCTGGGGCCCAGGGTCCCCTCTTAGCTGGGGCTTTGAGACAGGAAGGTCAACAGACTGCCCTCAGAATGGGGAGGCACAGGTGGGGAAGTGTGGTGTGAGCAGCAGAGGGTGGATGGCAGAACAGCCGGCAGGGAGGGAAAAGGGCTGACGGGAAAACCAGGTTTCCCCACTCTGGGACACGGAGGCAGGAAGGAGCACCCCTGCACCTCCTTCCCCTCCACAGGCTCACTGGAAGGCAGTCAGAGGGGGCTTTCAATTCAATCCCACTGCCCAAGCCCAGAGAGGAGGCTGCTGGAGAGCCTGCTGCATTCCTGGAGCCCCAAGAATGACATATATGGTCAGACTCTGGGCAGACAGGGACAGCAGACAGGATGGGGCATGCAGGAGGGAGGCGGCACAGCTGCCACCCAGAGTGGCCTCTGCCTCTGGCTGAGGTCATACAACAGCCTCCTGCACACAACCAGGCCAAGGACTCAGGACAGCTGACTGGCTCCCTGTGCCTAGCAACAAGCACCCTGTTACCTGGGCAACCACTGAGTCAGAGGGAAGGGCTTCTTCAAGCTCCCAGCCAAAGCTGAGCAGCCACATGCCAAGAAGGCTCTTCCTCTCTCTCTGTCTTCCCTGGCCTAAGCCACCACCCACCAAAACACTGGCCCCTTGCCAAGGATACCAGGATGGCCCTGTCACATTCAGGGATGCATTTCACTGGTGAGCACTTTTGGGCTCTCATCTCAAAGCTCAGCTCCTTATGTAGCCCAGGCTGGCCTTGAACTTGCCAGGATCCTCCTGCCTCAGCCTCCCAAGGGTTGGGATTGCAGGTGTGCGCCACACGCTGCCAGGAGAGCTCACTCACCCTACAACCCTCCACCCTCAAACAGTCTTAAGGAATCCACGGTGACCATCTTTCACTCCTTTCCCATTCATGCAGGAAGCAGTGAGGGCAGCTGAGGGGGCTCCCAGCCGAGAAAGGAGACAGAATCCAGCTCAAAGCAACCTCCCCAAGCCTGAGCCTTTGCCTCATCCATCCGGCTCTGGCACTGCCCAGCACCAGCCCCACTCACTGCTGACCCAGAGAAGTCTTCCTGCTCATGGCAGGCCTTGGTATAAGAACTGGGTTATGGTCCTGCCTAAGGCCAAGATGTGCAAAAATCCTGGGCAAGTCCTTTTCCTATCTGAGCCTAAATATCCTCCTCTGTACAAGCAAAGCCTCTCCTAGAAACACAATTCTCCAGTGTTGAGAAATACTTGTGCTGAAGTGAACAACAGGGTTACAAGTAGCAGCTAGGAGCTGAGCTATATGAAAGGGAGGAAGAGGGAGACCACAAAAAACAGAGCTGAGCCAGGGATTTAGCTCAGTGGTTCCACCGCCCGCCTTGCAAGCACAGGGGCCTGAGTTCGATCCCTGGTAAAAAAACAACAACAAAAAAAAACCAGCTGAAGCTGGGCATGGTAGTGCTGCAGGCGTGCAACCCAGTACTTTGGGAGGCTCAGACAGGAGAATCTCAAGTTCGAGTCCAGCCAATGGGAAGGCCCTGGGTTCAATTCCCCAGTACCACACACTCACACACACAGTCGCACACAGAATAAATTTTTTTAAAAAGGAGCTGAACTCAAACTCCATTTCTCTTCCACTATCTTCTCTATTCAGTAAGTTCTTTCAGATCTAAACTCTACCCTTGTTTCCCAAAACCTCCTTTCCCAGCGTAAGTAATCACAGTGGTTCTCCCCGCCCGGCCATACTGGCTTCTCTCAGGACACTTCCAGCCCACAGCTGTGGCTTTTTTCTGACCCAGAAGTGTGGCTCCCATTCGCTAGGAGGGTGAGGGAAGCCAGGGCAAAGAGATTCTAGCATAAAGTCACAGAACTGAAGTGGCTACCAGAGACACCAACCAGTGGCATGTCCAGCTCTGTGCAGAACACTTCCTATTCTGAGATTATTTTTTCCTTTTCAGCAGGTAGGCCATCTATCTTCACAAAAATCTCTGACAGTCATGTTAAGCAGAAGTTTCAACATTTGGGAAATGAAGGGCTTTTCTGGAAGAAAAACTGGTAGATGCATGGAGGGTCTTTCATGCAGTTTTAAGAATCATTGTTGGTAGAGCTTTTCCACAGCATGCATGAGGCCCTGAGTTTTATCCCCAGCCCTGCAACAAATAAATAAACAAAAACCTATCCAGAATAAATAAACAGAATAGATGTTTGGCCATTAGCTGACCAAATGAATTAACTCTTTTTCTTAAGTAGAGAAGAAAACCAACATTTGTTGAGGGTCTATAGAGCGCCATGAACTTGGCACAAACGATTAACTTCACAGCACGACTGGTCCAGCATATAATAGGTCCACTTTACCGTCTAAGGAAAGTGAGGCGCGGAACAAACAAGCAAAAGGCTTAAGGTTCTACAACCTTTGGAGGGAAGATTTTAACCTACGCCTCCGTCTCGGGTGCTCTTCGTGCAAGTCAATCCCACCACAATTCCTGGGACTGTCATTCACGCGATTCTCAAGGTTCAAAGGGCCTTGCCCCAAAAGGGCAGATACAGCCTCTCCCTAATTTCCCTTCGTGCAGAACACAACACGAAATAGTATTCTCTGGCATTGCAATCGGCCTCCCAGTCATGGGTCCATAATTACAAAAAAGTAATTTTTTCAAAAGTCCAGATCGGGTGTAATTATCTCATTTCACAAATTAAGAAAGCGCAGTCTAGTAAGTGGCAGGGCGCTACACTCCCCCCGGATCTCTCCTCAGTGCTTCGCCAGATGGTATCCGAGAAACTTCTCCCTCCCACGGCCTTGCTCCTGCCATCGAGTGGCCGGGCCTTGGCCCTGCGGAGGGCGGGAAGATTGACAGCAAAAGGGGCTGTCTTCTGGGGCAGGCGCCAAGTGGGATAGGATCTCCGGCGGCCAAAGGCCAGGCTCCCAGGCCCGAATCCACCACCGCGCCCCCTCGTCGGATCCGCTGGGGTCTTCCCCAGCCGGACCCCAGCCTTGTGCTCTGGCCAGACCAGTTCCTTCCCTTCCCCCATCCCACGCCACCCGGGAGACCCCGCGCCGTGCAGCTCACCGAGCTCGGGCGCTGCTCTCGCTGCCACGCCTGTCAAAGCTCTGCAAACATCCGGCTCCGCGGTGCAACGGGAACCGCCCCCCTCGGGGCTCCTCACTTCCCAACCACTTCCGCCACACCTCCAACCTACTTCCGGCTCGCTGCCCGGTCCAAACATGGCCTTTCCAGGATCCACGCCCACTTCCTGCACTTTCCCGCCGAAATGCCTACGGGAGGGAGGGATAGCATTACTGTCCGACTCATCACTCTTCAATTCGGTGCGTGGAACCACTTCGTTCCGCTTTCTCAGCTACTCGAATCCCGGATGGGCTTTGGAGTCGTACATTCCTGTTGTTCCCGAACAGAATTTGGTCTCACAAGTACTTCCAAACTGTCGGTCCCGAATACCGATGTGGTTTAACTTTTCGGATTCTTTGCAGAGAGGAAATTTGGAAATCAATGACAGTTTCCGGGAGGAGCTGCGAAGAGGACGCTCACTTCCGGCGAGGTGAGGTTTTTGTTGTTGTTGTTTTCCCCCGGACCCGCCATGGAGGTGGCGCTCTTGGCGGGGAAGACCCTAGAGCTCAGTGAGTGGCTTCTGATGTAGGCGACCCTCAGCCCTGGCCTAGATGGTTCTAGCGTCCTCTGGTCAACTCTACCCCAATCCCTTGTGCTGTCGAGTTTAGGATCCTCCGGTGCCCTCCGAGTCGCTAGGGATTAAGGAGCCCTGGAGCGGCTTCAAACCTTGGGAGTGGGTAGAGCACTCGGGTATCCTGCAGACCCCCCAAAGCCTGGCCGACCCCACGGTTCCTCCCTCACCCTTCTCCTCCCCACCCCACTGCTTCCGATCTCGCTGCAGACCCCGAGCCGCGCCTGCACCCGGACCCAGAATGGAGCCCTCCGGGAGAAGGCTGTATTCTCAGCCCCAGAGACTCCGCGCCCGGGCCGAGCCGAGCCGTCCTTTCCCTAAGCAGCCTCCCCCTGGGCTTAGCCCTGGGCCCCTCACTCGCGAGGACACAGCGCATGGGGATCTGGTGTGTTGGGGAGCCCCTGCAGCCCGGACTGCACTGGGGGCCGCTGCAAGAGAGCTCTGCTTCTGTGGAGAAGGCCGAGGGAGTGCAACCACGGCTGGAGGAGGTATTGAGGGGTCTGGCATCTCCCTTCTGCGATTGAAACGGGGGGAGGTTCTGACATTTCTGGACAACTCTCCAGTTCACTAGAAGAAGGGTATTATTCCAAGTGATGAGCTAGGTGTGTCCCTTCCCTGTGGGGCTGTCTTTCCCACGCTGCAGTGGGTAAGGAATGGAGGTGCAAAATGTTACAAGCTGAATTAGTATAGTGTCAGCAGTGACCGAGGTCAAGAGATAGACGTCGTGGCGCACACCTGTAATCCCAGCACTCGGGAGGCTGAGGCAGGAGGATCGCTGTGAGTTCGAGACCAGCCTGGATTACATAGTGAGTTCCAGGTCAGTCTCAAATACATAGTGAGACCCTGTCTCAAAAAACAAAAAAAATGAAAAAAAAGAGAGAGAGAGAGAAACTTGTCTGTAAAAGAAGGCAAAGGCAGGCTGTCTCCAGATTATTTGGTGAAGCAGAAGAAATAATGTAGGTAAAGCTTTTAACTGCATAAGTACTGTTTTTCCACACCATTGGGAAGGAGATAAGGGGATACTTTTTTTTCCCCCTTTCTTTCCACTCTTTTTGGTAGACAGTGAATGAAGAGTCAGTCAGCACTGTCATATTTCTTTTGTTTGTTGTGTTTTCGAGATGTGGGTCTCACTCTGCAGCTCAGGCTGGTCTCAAATGCATGGCGATCCTCCTGGCTCAGCCTCCCCATTGCTGGGATTACAAGCGTTCACCGTGTCCTGACTGTCACGCAGTGCTGGGGATTAGAAAGGGTTTTGCACATGTGCAGCAAGTGCAGTTACAACCCAAGTCCAGCAGCAAGATCATAGAGACATAGCTCCACAGATGCTAACCCTCCAGGAGTTTCATTTTAATTTTTTGCTTGTTTTTGCAGTAGGGGATGGAACTCGGGACCTTGCACTTGTGAGGAAGGAGGTGAAACCACTGAGCTAAATCCCCGGCCCCTTCTTCCTACCTGGTCCCCTCAGGCTTTTATTCATTTATTTTAGGACCTGTCACTTGGCCCAGGGGAAGCCATGTTTGCCTGCGAGCACAGCTCAGGCTGGACCGGGTAAGTTACAGGACGAGGTGTACTGAGAATGTCCCTCGTGGCTTTCTGTATGGACCTGCATGGAACCTGAAGTTACTGTGATTCCTTAGTCAGGGATCTTTTCCCATGGATGTTCTGCGAAGGTATAGCATCCTTTAGGACTTCGGCTTCCCCAGAGCTGGGGTTCTCATGGATGCCACTTGAAGCAGATCTCCTGAACTGCCATTCTGCTCTGCTTTGCAGCTTGGTGCAGCGAGGCAGGCTGGAGAGTGAGGGAAATGTGGCCCCAGTCCGCATCAACAAGAGGCTCCACCTGCAGGTACACGAGGTCGTGCTGCCAGGCTCTGAGCTGCTGCTGTGGCCCTGGGCTTCTCCAGAGGGCCCCAGCCCCTTACAGCCTGGGCTGGAGGAAGAGAAGGCTATGGTGGCAGTGGCAGAAGTGGAATCTGCTGTACAACAGGAAGTGGCCTCACCCAGGAAGGCTGCAGCAGAGGGTTCCACAAGTATGTTTCAAATGAACGCCCGCTCCCCAGGTATTACTCAGAACAGCCTGTGCGGAAACAAAGCAGACTTATGGCTCAATGCTGCAAGAAAACAGGAGAATCTTAGCTGCCTTTGAGAGCATGGCTGGGGCTGGGGTTGTTGCCTGGTGGTAGAGTACTTGCATAGCATGTGTGAGGCCCCAGGTTCCTCCCCAGCAGTGTGAAATAACTAAAAATCTGATTTAAAGTGGACATTTCAGTGTGGGATGGGAAAACGGCTTGATTAGAATTGGATCAGGGCTGTGACATCATAGTTTAGGATTGGGCTGGGTATGGAGGCGCACACTTCTAATCCCAGCACTCAGAAAGCTGAGGCAGAAGAATGACTTGAGTTTGAGGTCAGCCTGGGCTACGTAGTGGGTTCAAGATGATACCCTGTCTCAAAAAAACAAGCTTTTTCAGTGGCACCTGCCTGGCAAGCTCAAGATCCTGAGTTAAGGGCTGGGAATTTAGCTCAGTGCTTCCACCGCCTGCCTTGCAAGTGCAAGGTCCCAAGTTTGTTCTCCAGTACTAAAAAAAAAGATCCTGAGTTCAATTCAATTCTCGGTAACCCCCCACAAAAAAAAATATTTTGAATTGGTGGACAGTGTAAGACTAGAATTTTTAGGTACATGGTATAAAATGTCTAAAACTAACTTGTCATTGAATAGAGGCAGATTGGCATGTGAAGCCCCCCCGCTTTGGGTACTGGGGACTGAGCAGGCACTTTTCTTTAGAAGAAACGAGAAGGATATTTGTAACATCTTCCAAGAGTTTTCTAGAGTACTAAGTTCATGATGAAGAAAGAAAACGATGTATAAAGTTTCCAATTTCTGTTTTCTCTCTCCTTTATTTTACAGGTAAGCTTGGGTGGAGAGGTGAGGCCTTAAGGGAGTCCTACATGTGTGTCTCTGGGGACACCTGGTGGGGGGCTTCTGCAGAGGCTCTGAGAGGAGGGAAGGGGAAGAGGGAGCAGCTGGTGCTGGCAGAAACCCTCCTCATTGCTCCCACAGAGGGGCAGGGATTGAGTGGGAGAAACCTAGGCCTATAAGCTGCCCCCCCAAGGTCACCCCCTGCTACACTTGACCGACCCCACACCCTGCCTGTTGTCTCGCAGATCCTGGACGCCTGTTACCCCCCAGTGTCCAGGTAGAGAGTACGCTGAGCCTCGGTCCTATGCCCCAAACCCAGGATCAGGGTTCCCAGGAGAGGTGGCTCCCTGGCCCGCTGCTTCCAGGTGACCGGGTGGATGAGGAGGCCCCGCCCCAGGCACAGACGCCCCCGGAACCTCAGGACCCCGAGAGCTGTGACGTCGCTTTGCCAGAGCGCTCCCAGCTGCCGGCCTTCCCGGATGAGAAATGTCCTGTGTCCGGTGATCAGTGCCCACCGCGAGCCAGGCCCTCAGAGCCTGTGGCCCAACGCCCTGGCTCCCCTGGTCTACGGGGCCCCCCGGGCTCACCAGCAAGCTCCCCGCAGCGGGGACGCCGGTACCGGTGCGCGGAGTGCGGCAAGGCCTTCCTGCAGGCGTGTCACCTGAGGAAGCACGCGTTCGTGCACACGGGCCACAAGCCCTTCCTGTGCCCCGAGTGCGGGAAGGGCTACAGCTCCGAGGAAAGCTTCAAAGCCCACGTGTTGGGCCACCGCGGAGTGCGGCCCTTCCCCTGCCCGCAGTGCAGCAAGGCCTATGGCACACAGCGCGACCTCCGAGAGCACCAGGTGGTCCACTCGGGCGCCCGGCCCTTCGTGTGTGACCAGTGTGG